CAGTAAGTCCAAGCAGCGCTGGGTTATGTTCCTGAAAATGCAACATTACGAAAAACAACGTAAAGCGGATCAATTTTCCCCATAAGAAATAGATAAAATACGGGAGTTACGTTCCTAAGCCTCCCTTTGTCCCATGAAAAAAGTTACATATACAGAAAATCATTGCCATTTCCAGAGAAAATAGTATATAGAACTACAGTACTAAGTTTGTATTGGTACTCACCGATGGCCGGAGGTGGTAGAGCTAGTGTGTGGTGGAAAGTGCAGTGAAGGAGGAGGATGGAGGGAGTGAAGGAGGAGAGTGATGATTACACTGAAACTCTGCAGCTGCCTCCTCCTCCTCCCGCTCTGACTGGGGTTCCTCTGCGCCTGGTTGCTCCTCCTCTATTGTTGTTTGCTCCTCTTCGGTTGTTTGCTCCTCCTCGCCATTCCATGACGAAAAAATGAATTCAGTGTTGACTGCTTGGTGCTACTCATCTTCTCCTTATAGATCTTGGTGTAGCAACCAAGACTGTCCTCAATATTGCGTTGAACCTTTGAGCTACGTTCTCTGTTTGGATCATCATCTAGAAGCATTTGCATTGCTTGCTGGAACATGTCCAACGATTCTGCCAACCTCTTTGAAGTTAGCATTCTTTGAGGTTATTCTTCTTCGTCGTCGTCGTTGTCTTCAAAGGGACTGTGTTCTGTTAACAGTTGCAGATCTTCATTGGTGACCTCTTCTGTATGGGATGCCAGGATGTCCTCAATATCCTCTAATTCCAGCTCATCAAAGCCTCCCTGTCTAGCCAAGCTGAGGACATCCCTATTCAAGGCTGGGACAAAGTCCGTGAATCCCGTAAAACTGTTGACGCACTCGGGCCACAGTTTACGTCACACGCCATTCAGGCAACTTTCTGAAACCTCTTCCCATGCCTTGCCAATGTTGTCAATTGCATGAAGAATGTTGAAGCCCTGCCAATATTTTCGGATTGTTGGTTTATTTTTTCCATCTGTAGCCTTGAGCAGCTGGGCCATGGTACGGCGTAAATAATCACCTTGAATGCGGCCATGACGCCTTGGACCATAGGTTGCATCAGTGCTGTCGTGTTGGGAGGCAGGAATACAACTTTTATACTGTCATGCAAGTCGTCAAGATTGGGAGGATGAGCTGGAGCATTGTCAAGGATCAGAAGAATTTTGAAGTCAAGGTTCTCCTTGGCACAGTATTCCTTCAGTGCAGGGACGACTTACACGCTTAACCACTGGCTAAATCTGGCGCCGGTTATCCATGCCCTTTTTGTATGCCTTGTAAATGACAAGAAGGTAACCTTTCAGAGCCCGTGGGTGAGCAGCGAGCGAAATCAGCACAGGCTTCAGCTTGAAGTCACCGGCAGCGTTCGTGACAAGCAGCAGCGTCAAGCGATCTTTTGCCGCTTTAAAACCTGGCGCTCTTTTCTCCTCCTTGGAGATATAGGTCCTCTCAGGCATCCTCTTCCAAAAGAGATCAGTCCTATCCACATTGAAGACTTGCTTCGATGGGTAGCCTCCTTGCTGGATAATCCATTTGAATTCTGGCGAGAATGTCTCGGCAGCAACTGTATCTGAACTGGCAGCTTCACCAGTCATATTAATATTGTGGAAGTTATAACGACGTTTAAATCCTTCAAACCATCCTTGGCTGGCCATAAAAGTCTCTTCCTTCGATCCTTCACCCTCTTCTGCCTTTAAGTCATCAAACAAGGATCTGGCCTTTTGCTGGATAACCATAAGGCTCACAGGGGCATTGCATTGATTCTGGTCCTCCATCCACATTGCCAGCATGTTTTCCACCTTCTCTATCACAGTGCTTCTAGTACGAGTTGTCTTGGTAGCACTCAGAGAAGAACCACTTCCAACACTAACCTTAAACTTGTCAGCGTTGGTTCGGATAATACGCACCGGTGTGGGGGTTAGACCAAGCACAGCAGCTATGTCCACAGCACGTTCTCCTTTTTCAAATTGGGTTAATAAAACCATTTTTATAGCAAGGGTAATGGTCTTACGTTGCCTCTTCACTACACTAGCATGGTCTTACGTTGCCTCTTCACTACACTAGCATCAGTAGCACTTGATGGGCGCTTGGAAGCCATTTCGAATGGTTAGAGTACAGCTTAAGTGCAAAATCACTTAACCACACACGAATGATGTGAAGTCATAACAGAGACTGGCTTGGCGTCACTTGGGGACGCTGTGACGTTCCGCGAGTGAGGGCAGCGTGCCTAGCTGTGAGAGCATCAAGCGGCTAGACAAAAGCAGGTGATGCGCCGTGGAAAGTAGTCCGTGACGACGTAGTACCGAAACAACATTAAGCGGGACGACGTTAAGCGAGGACTTACTGTAAGTGTGGGGGAAGGCCAAAATAAAGAAACATTCAATACACTTCATGGCACAAATTCTTTTGGGTTAAGGTCTCTGTGAAAGAATTTATCAATTTAAGCAAAACTATAAGCAAACTGAAATGGTAAAGAAGCTTTATCTATAACAGACAACACCAATGCTTAGTACTGTAACATATAAACTGTCTTATCAAACACAAATTAATGTGGTATCGAAATGTAAACACTTCTTACCTGTCCTTTCCGTGCACTCTGGATAACACTCTTGATTTTGTTTACAAATGAGAACTGATCTACTGGAATGAAACCAACATACGCTTTCTTCTCACTTGAAAACAGAAGGATGATAACTTTGACTTCACTCTGAGTAGGCGAAGCATGAGAAACGTGCACACAACCAGCCTGTGAAAAAGAAATTATTTGAAACACCAATTTATGCTTTCTATACTAATAGTTTTGATAATAATGACTTGAATCCAGTATTATTCAATGAAATCTTTCTATTCCCTACCACACATAGAATGACTCCAGCACGAACTTTCTGACTAATCTCTTAATTATTCCATTCCTCGAATACTTTTGTTAATATTATGGGAAATTGGTTTAGATTGTGCATGTGTGGCTAATGTTCATTTTCTTTGGTGGGTTACTTCCACTGTACTGTACATCATTTGTTCGACTATTATGTTAAATTATTTTTAGCAACATTGTGCTTTTGAAAGAAATATTAAATATTTTTATTATATTTAGATTATCATTGATAATATGGAAGTACATCTTAATATTTAGAAAATAGCTGCCTGTGGTGGGCTCAGTGGCCATCATTGTGGTGTGGAACCATAACAATTGACGTGGAGACAAGACAGTGCACTTGGTTTCAGGAAGGACTCACACACAGTATTGTAAAGTTTTCAATATTATTTACAGGAGTATTGCTCCATTGTTCCATATTTTAAGTTACAGTATTTCAAAACTGGTGCATTGTTTAATTACTTAATACATTACATAAGTAGATAATTGTATTCTTCTGAAAGACAAGTAACAGGGTAACGGACACAGTAACCACGACTCTGGTAAATTAACAGTATACAGTATATACTACAGTATACAGCTAGACCCCGACTTACGACTGCTTCGACTTACGACCGTCGGGACTTATGACCGCCGCAGTTGTGACCATTTTTTTTTCTTTTCTTTTTTTTTTCCAAATGACACGCATTTTCTATACCAAAAATTTTCCAGTTAATGTAGTCTCCATAATTAAAAAATTATGGGGGCCCCAGGTGCATTCAGCTGACTACATTAAAGGTAAGTGCTCAGTCACACTGTATCCATTCCTCATTATTTATTACTTTCACTGTACTGTATCCATTCCTCATTTTTTATTACTTTTACTGTACTGTATTTCATTGTAGATTTTTTATTTAAAAAAATAAATAAATAAATAATTTTTATTTTATTTTTTTTTCTGTCGGACTTACGGCCATTCGGACTTACGACCTGGATTTGGGTCCCTAACCCCGTCGTAAGTCAGGGTCTAGCTGTATACAGTACAGGTATTCCTCGAGATATGAATGTTTGAGATGCGAATATTTGTTAATATGAATTTCCTAAATTGCTACCACTATTTCGAGAAACGAAAGCTTCCCCTGCTTAAACGAATTTGGGTCCAGGCAAAAATTTTAATTTCACGCACTGGGAGTCAGCTGGAGCGGCAATTTAGGTGAGAGATGCGTAGAGACATATTCGTACTCACTAATCATACTCCCCCCCTTCCTCCCGCATCTCCCACAAGCCTGTGTCTTTCCTTCTGCCAGTTGTTGTGCATGTGAAGTTATCTCTCTTTATCTGTGTGTATTCGTGCCATCCTTTCGTTACAACTTTCATAATGGCATCCAAGCATTCTGCTGAATCTTCAGCTACCCGTACTACACTGAAGAAACAACGAAAGGCTGTGACTCTTGAGACAAAGCTGGAAGTAATTAAGGGCCATCACCATGATGGCCCTACAAAGATTGGGAAAGATTTTGGTCTGGCTACTTCAACTGTGGCCCCAATTTACAACAGTGCTGACAACATAAAACAAGCAGCTGGAAATGTCAACAACAGCTGAGGAACAAGGCCAGACAACCCACCATATCCTCCTTCTTCAGACCCATCACCACCTTCAAACTGCTTCCTGCATCTTTAGCTTCCAGTTTCACTCCTCCTACCAGCAGATTTTCTTCCACTCCTTCCACCTCTGGTGTGACTGTGATGTCCTTGGCAGACAGCAGTAATGAGACAGACAACTCCCCTCACCTCGCTGAATAAGGCCCTTAATCAGCCCACCCTAGCTCACCCACTTGTAGTGGTGTGCCCAGACTGCCCTCCCATAAGGTAATAACCCAAAGTTAAACAGTATTTTATTTATTTTCTCATGTGTTTAGTAGTAATCACATGTGTTTGGAAGTAAATTAGAATACAGTAGTTGTGTACTATTTATCATTAGTTAGGTAAGTTTTGTTCTTGTTTGTGAACCGATTTTGTGTTTTGAGGTATGATATGAAAATTTACCTAAGGAATTTGTGTTTTTATTACCTAACCTATTCGTGTCTTGAAGGATACTTTGATTCACCTTTTTTTGTTTATTGTAATTAATGTTATATTGTAAGCAAGCTTATCATTTTCTATACATCCTTAAATTTACTTCAAATTAGCAAGGGCAACTAAATACCAGGAACATTTGTGCTAAATTGTGTTCCTTCTGGGCCCTTTAACTTCCTCGTTTAACTTCTCGCACACACTGATCGACCAATTTTGTCTTTTTTGTATTTTGGAGATGAAATGCATTTCCCTTTAGGGATTTTGGGATGGCTGAACATGAAAATGACAATGAAAATACTACATTGGCTACAGTTTCCAAGAAAAATTCACTATCTTACATTTCACAAGTATTACACACTATATTGGTGGCATAGGGTACAGTCACTGGCTTATCTCAATTAAACATTACGCCTCTTTACCTGTCGCTTGTATACAATTCTTGGAACATCTCGTTACTGTCCAGCAATAGTCCGCTAACATCACTGAACTCCATTTACCCTGGTACTGTTTCTCTATTGCCAAGATGTCTTGGTGGAAATGTTAACAGTGCTCACTGCACAACAGTTGCCAGAAAAAATCCATGTGACAGTGGAAAAAATGTATTTTCAAAGACTCATTGCAGCCCATTTTCTGATAGGATGACAACAGGTATTCCACAAGTTCTTTGTAGTTGTCATCCTTGATATGTCCTAGAAAGGTGGTTGCTACCAGCCGGAAAGCATTTCACGCTGTCTTCTCGTCACTATTTGAGGAAGTGGTACATGCTCAACTGTCCCATTCAAACAGGAATGAATTTCTTGTAGTTTATGCAGTTCAAAAGATGCTTAATGCTGTCCTATGATTCCTTCATTTAGACTGCATGAACAACTGGAATTGACAGCAACACATTGCCATCATGCAGCAGAACAGCTTTTAAACTCAACTTTGATGAGCCTATGAACAGTTATCATTAATACAGTAAGACCTCAGATATCCGGAATGCATGGGGAACTGAGTGAGCTGGATAATCGTTTTTCCGGATGCTTCTGAGTAACTCTTATAAATATGCATCTCAAACTCAAGAACATCATCAGAGTAAACATTATAAATGGAATAAAAGCACATAGTAAATATATAAGGAATAAAAGGGACAGAAATGGAACCATGGGTGCCAAATTCAAACTGATTTTCTTGATTTTTTAAATGTGATTAGACATAAATTACTGGAAAATGACCCCACCAAAAATATGACGGTTGCTTGAGAGTTCCAGGTGGTTAAATGCCGGATATCAAAGGTTATACTGTATTAAGGGGTACCATTAGACCATTTACATCGTTACAGGCAACGGGGTTACCTTTCATCTTAACCCTTAAAGCCTGGGTGATCCTCTACGTTTACAGGGAGTTCCCAGGTTACAAACGGGTTCTGTTCCCGAGGATGTTCTTAAGTCGAATTTGTACGTAAGTCAGAACACATGCTATGTGCATACTGTATTTACAGAACAATGTTTAAAATCCTACTATATCATAGCCTAATTCCTTATATACAACTAAGGTCAGTTAATTTAAGACAAAAGAAGAAATAGAATGACAAAATACAGTAAATGAATGTAAAAAATAAGTCATCAGGTAAATAAAATACTGTAAATTTAAAGTTTAACCCCATTCGTATCGGCACCCTCTCCAATAAGCAGAAAAAAGTCAGCTGCGAGTGGCCAATGCGGAGACGGGACAAAACAGTTTCCCAGCAGCACGAAAAGTCTCCGATATCCCCAGGTACCCAAAACAGTGTGGATGCTGCACAGCTTGCTTGCTCCACCAGCATCCCACCTGCATAGCCAACTCGAACGGATGACAGCTCTTATTACGGTCTTCATATTAGTGGCAGGTAGAGGGGAATGATGTGCCACAGGGTGAGAAGCAGCTGCTTTTGCCATAGCATCAGCACACTCATTCCCCTTCTCTCTCACGTGGGACAGAACCCAGCAAAAACTAATGTTCTGCCATAAAAATGTATGCCATAGTGGGGAGACTACCATCCCGACAGAAGCTGGGAAAGATTACCCCAAAAAACCACCCCTGCATCCGACTTTGAGCCGTCGGTGTAAACCGGGATAGTGCCTCTGTGAGAGGAGACATGCTCTTAAAAAAAAAATAAATAAATAAATAAATAAATATAAAAAAAACACAAGGAAGGAGTAAGTCTTTCCTTTTGTTAAAATACTGACAAACTTAAACTTCAGGGAAAATCCACAGCACAGAACTAGGGAAGCACCTCTGGGGAGTGAGCTTCCATAGAAGACACCCCTGCAAATGCTGTAGCAAAAAGCTCAGCAACTTCTTGAGGGGCAGGAACAAAGCCATCAATTGCCCTGAGAACTGGGGGAGGATTAGATGAAAACTTGCCTGTTATTTTCTGCACACGTTTCCATACCTGCCTCTTAAAAAATGGAAGCCAATCTTTCTGGAGGGCACAAAACACAGACACTGTCACCTAATTATCAAGGAGATTCCAGTGTTGAACTCAACAGTTCTGCCTTACTCTTTGACAGGACAGTTCCAGAACTCTGATGAAGTCGTTTAATTCTTTCTGCGTGATCCTGTGTGGTTCAGCAGATGTTACGTTAGGTGCAAAATCGAGATCTCTTGATGTTGATGGCTCACATGTTTCACAAATTTTGTTAACCTGTTTGTCCTCCAATTCCAGGAAAAATGAGTCTGGGGGTTCAGGAACAGGAAGTACTTCACCACGGGATACCAGGTGCGTAGCAGTTGGGATATTCAAATAGCTTATAATCTACTTTTTCTTCTTGGAAATACCTTGCCTGGAGGCACCATGCAGAAGTAACAGTCACTGACGTGCAAATCGTACATATTGGGACCCAGCCCATATCTTCAAAACTAGAGCCAATTAACAATTTTAGGTGTCATATTTGTGCTCAGCACTCCTTAATTAGTAAAGATTAATTAATTTCATTTCTGAAACATTTTGGCTGTCGATTAGTGATCCATAATGCCAAAACTTAGGGATCATTAAAGAAATTGAAGAAAAAATATTTCAAAGGCTCAATGAAAGCAAGCTCTTAGTAGGCACCACTATATTTTTCACCTTCTGATTTCATTACCCAATGTTGTATTTACTACAAATGTAGGCTGTCTATACTCTCTAATTACTGTTATATCATTTATTACACTGAATGCAATTTCAGGTTTAAATAAAAATTATTCTGAACCTTCTTGGAAAAGAGTCAAACAAACTTTCTGGACAACCTTAGAAAAATCAAGAAAACACAGACACCTGTAACACACAGTTATGAAAGATCAGAGAATTACTGAACCTACAAAGTATACATTACCATGCCACGGAACAAGAAGTTGGTGAGAATATCAAGAGCAGGACTTTGGTCAGGCAAAAACATGACAGTCTTAACATTCTTGAAGAATGAATTTCCAATGGATCCAAGGATGTGTTTAGGAATCATTTGCATTATGAGAGTTGGTGACCAGCAATCTGCCTTCCTGAAAAGTAATAATTGTGATACTATAAGTCTCATCTAAGGAATGGACATTTCATGCATGCTTTCCACAACAAGGTACAGTAACAGCAAAAATGTATAATATATTATTTGATATACAGTGGTCCCTCGGTTAACGAACGCCTCAGTTAACGAAATTTCAGTTAACGAATTACCTTCCATAAGAATCTTCATTTCGGTTAACGAACAAAAATTTGGTTAACGAACAAAAATTCGGTTAACGAAATTCTTACGAAAATGTTTCGACATGCTTTGGCTTGCTCACCAGCTGGAAGATTAGTCCGCCAATACAGAAATCGGTTCTAGGGCTTAAATTCGTAAAAATTGGAGTAAATATCAAGAAAAGTGTACTATTCAATAATTTTCCAAGTTTTATATTAAAATTTTTAGTCATTTTAACACTTATTTAACATAATTGCAGTACAGGGAACTAGCTTTTGGTGTGCCCATCAGCCACTTCACTCACCCACCAAGGCCTCGGTTTGTATCTCTGTTCAGGGGAGGAAACATCTTGCTTGTGGGCCTCTTGAACATAGAGTACAGTCATGCGCTGGTTAACGTCCGACCGAACAACGTCCGATCGCATATCCTATTTAAAAATATGCTTATTCATCGCCTTTAATTCACCCCATTATCAGTTCAGTATTGCTTTCATTTCAGTTTCAGTGCAGAAACATTTTGCACTGAAAATTTATACATACAGTGTACTCTTGATTTGATGGAATACGATACCTGTACTGTATAATGAACTCGATTTAGCGGAAGGAATTATTTCTGTTATTTTTCACACAATTTACTGAACTAGTTCACTATATTGAGATTAATTCTGTTAATACACGCATCACACCTATTGAGACACCTCAGACACATGATATGTATATAGAAATATTAAAAACATTATTCATGGCTTACCTTAAACTAGGGGTTCAGTGATTGTTTTCAAATTTTACTATAATTTCTAAACTGTTTTCCAATTGATAGCTGAACTCTTTTGACTTTCTCCCCCACACCTCTTCCTTTCTGAGACTTCTGAGAGACTTTCGGCATGAAGTCTAAGCACAGAAGTTATTTAACTGAGATGTAGACTGAGAGGTAGCAGTGAACAACCCACGCGGTGGCAGCAGGACACAGACTGAGCGGATGGAAACAAACCCCACGTTCCAAGCGGTGCATTTGGCGCAGAATTAACCAGAATCATGCTCAATTTAGCGAACTAATTCGCTAAATTGAGCAAAAATAACAGAAAGTTCAATTTAGCATATATTTTGATTTAAAGGAAAGGGGTGACTCGAATTAGTTTGTTAAATCAAGAAAATACTGTATATGAGATCAATTCTGCTGCCCCATACTAAACCCCTTCACTATGGGGATGCCACAATTTTAATTAGTTCAGGTGGTGACACCAAACACAAGTGGTTAACATAAATTTGTTATATATCAGGAGGGGTCCTTGGGGTTCAGACCACCCCCCCTTTTCATTAGAAAATTACCAATACTCTTTCTTTAATGCACTATTGTATTCAGGCATTTTTCTTTAGTAAAAAGTAATTACTATTGGCCACAGAATATTTCCTAATATCAAGTGATCATGGCTTCAAATTGCCCATGATATTGGTCATATTAAAAAATGGAGGGGGCTTAGGGTCCCCAATCAACCCCCAAGCTGGGTGGGCTCGCTATGCTCGCCATGTTCCCCCACCCACAACTTCTTGGAACCCCCTCTCTTTTGATATTCCTGGATCCGCCCTTGCACTTTACAGTACAGTGGTCCCTCGGTTAATGAACACAATTTGTTCCAGAAGGTCGTTCGTTAACCGAAACCATTGTTTCAATGGGATTTTGGGCAATTGGTTCCAGCTCACAGAAAATTACATACAAAGTAAAAAAAAAAATGCAGTAAAGTACACTTACTTTGAGGTGTGTATGTAGAAGGCTCCTGGTTGATGATGATGATGGGAATTAGAAGTGGAGGTGGAGGAGAAGGGAGAAGAGAAGGAAGTGGGGGTGGAAGAGAAATCACCCCATGCTTGATGCCGTCATTTCACCCATAAAATTTTAAGTTCACTAGGTGTAATTCAAGATTATTTTCTTCAAATCAACACTGCACTGCACTATATATTGTCAATATGTTAACCAATAATTGTACTATAAAAACATAAAAATACAGTCATGTGCCGGTTAACGTCCTAGATACGTTCTTGGAAACGTGACGTTAACCGAAATGGACGTTGTCCGATCATCATATAAACTTTATATTTATACTTACGTGTACGTGGAATACAGTTAACCCTCACTTTACGCGGTTAATGTAACCCGGAGGGTACCGCGGAAAGCGAGAAACGCGTAAAGTGAATAACATAACATATGGGATTAATTGAAATGGAGTCCAGGCCGATCCCCAAACTCCACTTTTTGACGACACATAACTATGTTGTAGTAAAAATAACATCTTAATTTTATGATGGTACATGCACACAATTAATACTTAAGAGAAATAGAGAAAAACAGTCGCCAAGTTAATGTCCATTCAAATAATGGACACGACTCCCTCCCCCTCTTCTCACACTCCTGGCTCTTCCCTCTGAGAAATTTTGGGGGGAAAACCAGGTATAGTAATAAATAATACCTCAAACTAAAGTTAGGATAATATAATTGACATTGCTGGATTCCTTGTAAGACCAGGAATATTTTGAATATAAATGTCATATATTTTTCACAAAAGATAACATATTTACTCAGATTAAACATTACATCTAAAATTTGTATGTCTAATGCAAAATATATGATCTTTATATTCAAAATGATCATCAAATCGTAAGAATTCCAGCAATGTAAATTATATTCTGGCCGGGTAATTTGTATGAATTTTATGAGCTAAAACAAATATCTTCAGTTCATAAAAAAAAAATATTCTTCACGGCACTATCTGTCAATCAAAGTACCCCACCTTGCCTCCCCCCCTCTTCCAACCGCGCGGTCAGTCCCAACCCTCCCCCCTACCCCCCACCAATCCTCCCTTCAAGAGATGTTGGGTGAAAAATTTAGATTTTAACATTTTGTATTAAATAATACCTCAGATTAAAGTTAGGATAATATAATTGACATTGCTGGATTCCTTGTAAGACCAGGAATATTTTGAATATAAACGTCATATATTTTGCACAAAAGATAACATACTCAGATTAAACATTTTATCTAAAAATTTCATGTCTAATGCAAAATATATGATGTTTATATTCAAAATGATCATCAAATTGTAAGAATTCCAGCAATGTAAATTATATTCTGGCCGGGTAATTTGTATGAATTTTATGAGCTAAAACAGGCAGTCAGGCAGGGTGGCGGTGGGTAGCGAATCTAAAAAATAGCTCACCGCATAGGAAACCCGCGCAGTGAAAGTTCGGTCTCTGGCGAGGCACCACGACACGTAAACGCGCTAAGTGAAACCTCGTTGCTGGGTATTACTGTATATATATATATATATATATATATATATATATATATATATATATATATGTATGTATGTATGTATATATATATATATATATATATATATATATATATATATATATATATATATATATATATATATATATATATATATATATATATATATATATATATATATATATATATATATATATATATATATATATATATATATATATATATATATATATATATACAGTCATGCGCAGGTTAATGTCCTAGATACGTTCTTGGAAACGTGACGTTAACCGAAATGGACGTTGTCCGATCATCACATAAACTTTTTATTTATACTTACATGTATGTGGAATACTATATACGTACATATACACTTTTACTCTTAAATCACTACTGCAATGTGATACAGGTGATTAATTTTCATCTCTTGTGCAAAATACATGACGTTTATATTAAAATTATTCACTGTTTTACAAGGATTCCAGCAACGCCAAGCAGATGGGGGAGAGAGAGGGTAGCAGCGAGCGAGGGGGCGTGGGGGGAGGGGAGGTAGTACGTTTGACAGTTGGCACAGGCCCAGGTCTAACGCGTGTATATTTATCAGTTCTTAGGTGACTAAGCTTCTCTCTTATAAAAAGCCAGTGAAATGACCTGGGTGAATATAATTAACATAGCTGGGATTCTTGTAACATACTGATTAATTTTAATATAAACATGCTATAATTTGTACTAGACAAAACAATTTTAGTACCGTAATCAAATTAGTACATGTGCACTCCAGCTTTGCACTAAGGTCATTTATTTCTATTACATTTCTTTTAGTATGGTGTGTGCATGTAAATGGATGAAAATAAATGAAGAAATCTATGTAAATCTACCCAAAAATACAGTTGAAAAACTTTTTTATAAAATGTACTACAGTACTGCACACTAATGTACAAAAATTTTTATATCTTGATCAAAATATATGACGTTTATATTCAAATTATTGGCTGTCTTGCAAGGATTCCAGCAATCCCAATTATAATCTCCTAACTTTAGTCTGAGATATTATATAAGATAAAAACTGTAAGCCTAAAAGCCTAGCTGAGGGGGGGGGTTGGGGGACTGACGGAGCCAGCTACGCCAACCCACTGAGGGGTTGGGGGGGGTGGGGGGGTTGAGGTGATAAGTTTGAGGCGAAGGTCTCTGTGTGTTTATTTAACAGTCCTACTAAGCTTCTCTCATTTTAAAATGCCAGTGATATGACCTAGGAGAATATAATTAACATAGCTGGGATTCTTGTAAGATACTGATTTATTTGAATATAAACATGTTGTAATTCGCACTAGACATAACACTTTTAGTACAGTAATCAAATTAGTACATGTGCACTCCAGCTTTGCACTCAGGTCATTTATTTATTTTACGTTTCTTTTAATATGGTGTGTGCATGTAAATGGATGAAAATAAATGAAGAAATTTATGTAAATCTACCCAAAGATACAGTTGAAAAACTTTTTATAAAATGTACTACAGTATTGTACACTA